TACCTGTGAAGATATAGAAGCTAATATCTAGAAGGACACGTTTTCTCTTTGAGATCATTGCTTCCTTGCAGTAGATAAATGAGTAGTGCAGGGGGCAAGGCTGTTGTGCAACCACTGGAGAATGAGGCTGAAAAAACGAGAGTTATCGGAGTGATCCTGGCTGACAAATTATAATGTTAGGTATCTCTTTATAGTTCTATAAATACAAAGTAGGTACGTACCGGGATCTACCTGTTATCTTCCTAAATTACCTATACCGGCTGTGGTAGAGCTGGACGTTCTTTAGTTAGTTCACGTGTTTTAGCTAGTAGGTCGTTCATAGCACAACTTCGAGCTAGCAGTAGGCAGACAAGAACGAACAACTATCTCTCATTACCTGATTTTTCAATCACTCGCTTTCTATCCTTATGAATCGATCTTTATCACCTTATTGAAACCGACCCTCGCAGCCCTACGTGCCTGAGCCAGTTAACTAAGCAACTGCGCTTCCTGGCACCGTTGTGCTACTGCTTTCGCCAGTACCCATCGCCCCTGCTCCATTGCCTGCGGCGCTGCAGGGTGTGAAGGCTGCGCCTCCACACCGGCTTTTTGATTCGACGATGACGATAAAAAATCTATACTAACTTAACGTCTTAGAGGATATTCAACTTCCCCCGAATTTAGTTAATAGCTTTATCCCTGCTTGGGATTTGTATATCTTAATAGATGTACGAAAAACAGATGTCAGCCAGGATCACTCCGATAACTCTCGTTTTTTCCAGCCTCATTACAGTCAGTTGTTACACAACAGCCTTACCCCCTGCACTACTCATTTATCTACTGCAAGGAAGCAATGATCTCAAAGAGAAAACGTGTCCTTCTAGATATTAGCTTCTATATCTTCACAGGTAGCAGTAATTTAGGAGGACAAGCGGCGTCCAATTCCTCGCGCCCAGCTTCACAACAGATTTGGTATTTTATATAGATTCTACGAAATACCTCTCATCCCAATCCAACCTCTATTTACAGTATTGAATAGAGAATTCATTTGCATACTTCCTTTTTATCTCGACATCAACCTTGAAACACCTCTCACGGCGTGATACCAACTTCTTAACCTGTACTAGAACAAATTCCGAACCAAGATCCATCTCGTAAGAAGGTGGATGTGGGTTAAATATGCTCTTGAGATGCCTGTAATCTTGCCGATCTTTCCAGTCTGGTACAGCGTCAACAGCTATGCCAAATTGCGACGAAGAAGCAAACATTAATGCGAATCTTGTACGTTCCACCTGAGGCCGTTCTATAACCAGAACTCCGGCTAGCTTGTCATCTTCCAATTTGAAAGTCCTTCGTGGATTACCATCGTCAAGCGTGGTCGAAGCTGGAGTCCGAAACCAACCGCGGTTGTCTTTTGGGTTCATAGTGCTATGAATCGTGTAACCCGCGTGCAGTGTTAAGTTATCTTCTAATCTTAAGATCCGCGGGAAGCCGGCGCCCTCAATCTGTGGGAGATGAATATTTTGGCGCACATACAAAGTTTGGTCAATGCCTCTGCCATTCACATCGACTTCTGGGAGGTGCGCCGCCATAACCCTCGCATACTGGTTTCTATTCTTGTAACCTTGGGCATCAATAGTATTCGGATTGAGACGCCTTAAGTAAATCCCGAGGAAGCCAGTGAGATTTCGTGGACATGGACAATTAATGGATGCTATCCAATCATCATGGAAGATCTGTTTGAGGTGAAAAGATATGCGTAGGCCCTTGTTCGTTTTTGAGAAAGGCTCTCTAGGTTCAAAGTCTTCGTAGGGTACAAAGCTTCCGGAATCTTTGAACCAGGCCGGGCTTGTTGCGAGGAGACCGTAAAGGTCATTTGCGTGAGCGTTGCCATTCGTCCAGGCGAATATCGATTCATCGTCAGAGTCTGCCATGATCTCTTCCTGTAGCCTGACGAATGCCTTTTCTCCTCCTTCTCCGTAAAGCATCGGCATATTAACGTGAAACAGCCCCATAAGGCTGTACGCGCGATCTTCCGGTCTTGCTGTCTCTCTTTTAGAAGCCCAAGACATCCTCTGCGCAATGCTCATAGAAAGCACGCTCTTAGCGCCCGTTAAAACATTTACGCTTATGCCTGTGATTCTGGATAACGGCTGGGACAGGGTACTTTTACGGCCGACCTCATGCCAGTGCTCCGAATAGAAGACAAGGGTTCCGGGGGCAACTAGCTCTTGTAACGTCCAGCCCCTTGTGAACCACTTGCTTGCCGCGAACTCCGGGTCCGTGTGTGCATCGATACCGTCGGATACATCATCCAGATATGCATAGCATATAGCAGATTCTAGGTACCAAATGTACATAGAGTTGATGGCTTCTGAGAGTTCGGCACTACTGCTCTTGTCTATGCAACACGTGTCGATCCATAGGTATTCCAATTTGTCGTCCACTGCCTGTTGGCAAGCCCGTTCAATTTTCTGGTACCCCTTTTTCTGCTTTGTTTCGGGGGTAGGGCTCAGCATTTCTTGGTAGTTTACTTCTTGATCCACCCATCTGTGCGACACAATGGCATAATCGTGTTCGCCATACTTGAAAGTCCCGTCGTCAAACTCGAGGGTGCGAGAGTTGAGAACTCGCATGGCGAAAAGGGTGGTGAAATAGAAGACTTAAGGTTTTTCGACTGCTGAATGTGTCAAATAGAACGACAAATGCATGCAAAAGAGTAATGAATGCGTTGTGTTTCTGCTTTCACGTAGGAACATCCCTGTCCAGCTCTTCTGCGAGTTGTTTTGCAAAAGAAATTCGACTTCTTCGAAAAGTAGGATAGAAGCCGTTTTATCAGAGCACCGTTGGAGTTAGTTAAGCGCCCTAAAATGCAAACAGCTGAGCGGGGTCACCCGCATGTTTCACTGTTGTGGAGACGTCGTGCGATTTGCCAAACTGAATGGCAGATACCTTCGCACAAAGCGGGGTAACCAAGGTGCAAACATCAAACAATTCTTTGCATCGCACCCAAGAAACCAACCTCAACACCATGTCTCCTTGCCGTTATTTTACGAAAGGGTTCTGCTCTCGAGGAGCCTCTTGTCGTTTCAGCCACGAAGTCGATGTTTCACCAGCATCAGCTCCTAGTCACAGTACCGAGACGCCGCACGCGAGCCTTTGTTGCACCCCAACGGCGCCACCCCCGAATTGGCGGCCTTTTTGCCAAATTCGACAGCCAATTAAGGAGATATCAGTGCCCACTGCGGGCGGGCGTCGATTTGGC